TTTTTTTTTTTTTTGTTACCAAATTTTTTAGTTTATTATTTTTTGGCAGATTAATTTCCTAAATGGTTCAAAATGTTATTAACAACTTTTTTAGTTTATTAAATTGTTTACCAAACATTTTTTTTTTTCAGGTAATTGAAATAGTTCGAAGTGATTCAAAATTCTATTAAACAAAAGGGCCATAATATTTGGTGAAATGTGGTTAAAAGTTTGTTAATATAATAAATAATTGCAATTAAATAAATTGATAAATAAATTACAATTAAAAGATTTGATAAAAATATAATATTTGTTGAGATGTGGCTAACAATAAATAAATTATAATTAAAAAAAAAATTGTGACTGAGTAATCATATTTGTGTAACATAAGTTTAACAAACTTTGGGACAGAATAGACATATTGCTTAGCAAATCGCAAATGTAGATAACTATCACATATTTTCTAACAGAGATTTTGTCATATTTTAGAAGACTGATTGACTGTATAACTCATTTATTAAAAAAATCTTGAAAAAAACAAAAAAAAGGCAAGAAACAGAGAAGAATACCTCGGCAGCCATGGAAGACGAAATATCCGAATTGCCAATTCTTATGGCATTTCGACCACACCGAAACTCCGCCCAAGATCCACTGAAAATAATAAAACTGGAGAACACAAAGTTTAACATGGAAAACCCTCTGTTAACGAAGAAGGAAAAACCATCAGGGCAACAAGGCCGTAGAAAATCCATTATGTAAAAAAAAGTTACACAATTTTTCTACACTCACTTTTACCCAAAATCACCCCACAAAATTTTCTACCCGTTAACCCTCTCTCACCCTAATGAATTTTTAGCCAGAGATTAATTGTTAACACAATAACTCTGTGGGATGAATTTACATAAGAAGTAGCACCTTCTTATATAGGGGAAAATTCTCCCCTGCTCTCATCCCACAATCGATGTGGGACAAAGAGCAAAACTCAACAAACTTCACCTTGCGATTTTGGCCCACATCTGACAGCCACTATTCACTTTGATGAAATTTTTCATAGCTTTCGCTATCATGCTCCACCATAAAAGCATATCCACTCGGACTCACATCCAAGCATTTCTTCGGCCCATGTCGAAATAATCTTGCTGAAATCTATGGTGCAACTTCCACGTTTGGCTTTCCTGGAAGTTCATCAGCCCTCGACACGTTTTTTCCACCACACACTTTGCATCACCGCCAAACCAATGCCCGTGTGTAAACTGTGGACCCGCTAATTGTAACACGTCCTCTTTCATGACACTTAGCGACATGTCATAAGGATTTCCCTTTCTCTCTTAACAAAACTCATCCATGGAGAGAGAGACAAAATTAGCTTCTTCGGTATCTCCATTTACCGACTTGGAGCTTTTTGTTGAACCTGCTCCTCCTTTCGGACAATTTATTTTCACGTGCCCAGATTGTCCACAAGTCCAGCAAATCACAACTTGCTTCTTCCTGGAATTCCTCTTCTTTCCGTCACCGACGAGCATGACTTGACCTTCCGGTGAATTGTTTCGTCCACCATCTAGCCTTCTCTCTTCCGCAAGAAGTTTACCAGTGACTTCAGAAAATACAATTTTCTCCTTTCCATGAATCAAGATCGGCTTCATGTGTTCATAGGAAGTTGGAAGAGACCAGATGAGTCTCAACGCCTGATCCTCATCATCAATCTTCACTCCAATGGATTCCAGCTCCGAGACGATCCCATTGAGAACGCTTAAGTGATCTGAGATGCTTTGACCTTCAGTCATTCGCAGTGTGTGAAACTGCTCCTTCAGATACACCCGATTTGAGACGCCTTTAGCCTGATACAACTCCTCAAGCTTGTCCCATAATGCTTTTGCCGTCGAAATTCCATGCACATTAGCAAGAACATTCTTGGCCAGACACAGTCGTATCGCGCTTGCCGCTCTTAAATCCAGTTCCTCCCAATCTTCATCGCTCATTCCAGATTTGCTCACACCAGCTTTTTCTTCAGTGCTGCTGGTAGCACCGCCTTTGGGAATTTCCGAGCCCTTCAAAGCTTTATGTAACCCCGACTGAATCAACACGTCCTTCACTTGCACTTGCCATAAGCCAAAGTTGATTTTTCCGTCGAATTTCTCCACATCAAATCTCGCCAGATTCGATATCTTATTTCCAGACATCTTCGTAAATTAGTGAACACTAACTTCGCAGAAAACCGAGCAGCAACCTTGAATAATACTGATCAGATAAATTCTCAGGGAGGATAGCAACCTACCCCCTAAAGAATTACCCTTCTAAGTAAGCTCCCAGGAAAGGCTGGTGGGGTCACAACGGTCCCACTTAAAAATCAGTCTTCTAGACAGAACCTACTTACACAGTAACTATTTCCTTCACTGCCCAAAAAACTCCTCTGCGCACAAGCTCCACCCGTCACACGAACAGACCTCTTTGGTATCTTTTCTGATGTGGAAGATCAGACAAAACTGCAACCACAGAGCATACTCAGAATACCAACTAGGCTAACCTCGCTCTTGATACCACTTGTTGGGAATTTCGACCACACCGAAACTCCGCCCAAGATCCACTGAAAATAATAAAACTGGAGAACACAAAGTTTAACGTGGAAAACCCTCTGTTAACGAAGAGGGAAAAACCACCAGGGCAACAAGGCCGTAGAAAATCCACTATGTAAAAAAAAGTTACACAATTTTTCTACACTCACTTTTATCCAAAATCACCCCACAAAATTTTCTACCCGTTAACCCTCTCTCACCCTAAGGAATTTTTAGCCAGAGATTAATTGTTAACACAATAACTCTGTGGGATGATTTTACATAAGAAGTAGCACCTTCTTATATAGGGGAAAATTCCCCCTGCTCTCATCCCACAATCGATGTGGGACAAAGAGCAAATCTCAACAAATTCCTCTACGGCACCACATTCTCTGTTTTCTCTCCCAAAAAGAAGCTGTGAGAACTTGTCTACTGTCCAAACAATGGCGCCACATCGGATCAACCCGCCCCAACCTCGAACTTTCCATCATCAACCGAACCCTACAAGGATACCGTGATCAGAATCTCTCCATACACAAACTCCATCTCGATTTATCGAGGCCCGACTCACGACCGACCGCCTCCCTTGTCGACAAATGGATCATGATAATAGCCGCCCACAACATAAAAGCGTTCAAACTCAACTTTCTTTCTTATTTTCTGGATTATTACGACCTGCCCTCGGCAGTGTTCTTAGCGGAGTCCCTCGAAGAACTACACATGCGCAATTGCAGGCTGAGCCCGGTCGAGAGCTTACGATTTGTGCCCCTAACATTGTCAGATTTAGTTTAACTGCCCCTATTCCCCAGGCACTGGACGCATTCTCTCTTGCGACTACTTCCAAGAAGTGGTACTCACGTGTAAGGCTCTCTTCTGGTGAGGTTGATCCCGATTTCAATGTCAATTCGTGGTTCCTTAAGCTGAGACGTTTACTCAAGGCACTAAGTGGGTCTCAAATTTCTCTGATTCTGAACATGGACGGCGACCCTCAGGGCGTGCCATGTAGTGCTTTTCTAGGTGACGAGCCGCCTGTGGTGGTGCGGAGCTTGAATTTTTCTACTCGTAAATGTCGCACGGCGTCTTGGTATATGGGGTTTACGAATGGCTTGTTTCGTGTTTGTCGACCGAGTCACGTATGGGGTGACAGCCTCATGAGCGGATCGGACATCAACTACAGGCTCTCGGAGTTTCAGTTAAACATCTTGCTTGCTAACAAGAGCCTCAGGACCGAGCCCTACTTTTGGCAGCACGATTTGGAGCAAGTGCACGTCGATGGGCAGTTTGTGCAGTACACAAACTTGTCGCAATTGCGAAACAGGACATATGATGGGATAGTGTGCCTTGAGTTGAAATGGAGAGGTCAGACTTCTCGGAATTGCGAGACAGGACATATGACGGGACATAGTACTGCGCTCGCTTGCTTTTCTGTTTACTCTATAGTCTATATGCCTCCTGCTTTTAATCGTGTTAGTTATCAGGAGCTGGTGAATTAGGCTACAAAAAAGTATATAGAAGTGGGTGTTGAAGGTATGCGCCCCTCGAAACTTATTGTTTAAGTTTCTAATGAGCACTGACACAGTGGTCAGGCATTAACCACCCATCTGATTTGAAACATTGAGTTTTAGTGATGATGTTACTGCCCTATGAAATTCAGTGTAATTCTTTGTTGAATTCAACACCTTTAAGGAATCTTCTAGATTGGGCAAGATTATTAAAGAAACTTTGATGTTTAGATATTTTACATCAAGTGGCGCACTTAATATAATTTAATATGATAGTACTAATATAAGGCGTTAAGGTTTTTGCACAAATATTAAGGAGACATTAATTAATAAGTAAATTGACTAAACTAACCTTATTTATTGAAAATCACTTGTTACGGTTGCAGCTATAAATGAGGGTTTATTTGGCAAAAAATGAAATAATTTGCCTTGTTTTTTATGTGCGTATTATATTTCAAAAAATTTGAGAATTCCTTATATGCCTTATATTTCAAAATGGAGGGAGTATTAGAATTATTACTACAATGTAGAATTATCTAGAATCATTAGTCCACCGACTTATTACTCTATAAATATGTTAGGCTAATTTTTATATATACTGAACGAAACAAAAGTATTTGTAAAAATACATGGGGTGTGATATTGTATTGCATCCCTATAAAATTGGGTGGAAATAATTACAAATATGCTAAGATGCAGTTACCATATCTGAAAGGTTGTAACCTATCCTTAATTTATGGGGCCGAATTTCATGCCCAATTAAAAGAATAAAAAACCCACATGTAAATCTATCCTGATATTAAGGAAGGTGGTTCATTGGAAATAGGGAAGATAGTAATTTTAAATTTCAACCGACTCTACAATTTTTTTTAACGAATCAGGTAGTTTTTTTTTTTTTTTTTTTTT